GAATATTATAATGTTGTATCTCTGCAAATCAGATTCCTCCCTTGCCTAGGGTTTGCTATTTTTCTGATTGTTGAAGATTGTGGTCGTCATTTGATTAGTGATTTTCTGATTTTTTTTTTTTTTTTTTTTTGTAAGGACTATATTCCTTGATTTGTGCAGTCACTGAAGTCTCTGTTTCTTTGCTTGGGTTCAGCTAGTGTAATGATAGAGCTCTCCTTGAATGTGAGGAGCTAAAAAAACAAACAAACCCCCACCACCAATCTTTGTAGATTAGCTCTGTGCCTGGGCACTTCTTTAACACTTAGCCAGGTTTGCACTTAGCCCAGGGATCAGCCCAGTGTGAAAGCTTCTCTGGTGTTTTCTGCATATGTCTCTTGCCTGGGACATGAGCATAGTCTTCTAAATTACTCGTAGATGTTATTGTTTTCAAATATTTTACAAAGAAACTCTTCCCAGGTTTTGTTTTCAGGCTGTAGATGATATAGTGCATGTCTCAACTATAATCTTTGTTTCAGGAGCCTTTGGGTTCAGCTGGTGGTGTTTTAAGCATTGCCCACTGCTTTTCTGGCCTGAGTTCCAGGTTAGTAAAGGCAAAGATGAACACCTTGTTTTAATCCTTAAGTAGCCTCCAGACAAGTTAGAACAAAATAGTTTTCAAACAAAGTATTTACTGCTCCTTCTGGAACCAGGGATCAGGGTCTTAGTCTGGGCATGTGGACTTCCCTCTTCAAGACTGCTACTGTGCCACGGAAGAAGGTGGAAAGAGCAAGTAAAAATGCCACAAATCTTCCTGTCACTTTGATTTTTATCATTTTTACTTCAGCATTTACTTGGTGGCTGTAAAACTTTGACTATTTCCCAGAGTTTTTACAAAGTTGGTTCTGACAGTTCCTAATTATTTTTCAGTGACTTTGCGGGCAGATACAAACTTAAAGCTACTCTACCATTTTGCTGATGTGATTCTTCTACAGTAGAGGTTTTTAATAACTTTTGTCTTAAAAAATATGTAGTATGTGGATCTACAACCATCTGATCTTTGACAAACCTAACAAAAATAAGCAATGGGAAAAGGATTCCCTATTTAATAAATGGTGCTGGGAAAACTGATTAGCTATATGCAGAAAACTGAAACTGGGCCCCTTCCTTACAACTTATATGAAAACAAACTCAAGATGGCTTAAAGACTTAAACATAAAACCTAAAATCATAAAAACCTTAGAAGAAAACCTAGGCAATACCATTCAGAACATAGGCATGGGAAAAGAGTTATAACTAAAACACCAAAAGCAATAGCAACAGAAGTCAAAATTGACAAATGGGATATAATTAAACCAAAGAGCTTCTGCACAGGAAAAGAAACTATCATCAGAGTGAACAGGCAACCTATAGAATGGGAGAAAATTTTTGCAATCTATCCATCTAACAAAGGGCTAATATCCACAATCGACAAAGAACTTAAACAAATTTACAAGAAAAAAACAACCCCATCAAAAAGTAGGCAAAGGATATGAACAGGCACTTCTCAAAAGAAGGCATTTATGCAGCCAACAAACATATGAAAAAAAAGCTCATCGTAGCTGGTCATTAGAGAAATGCAAATCAAAACCACAATGAGATACCATCTCATGCCAGTTAGAATGGTGATCATTAAAAAGTCAGGAAACAACAGATGCTGGAGAGCATGTGGAGAAATAGAAACACTTTTACACTGTTAGTGGGAGTGTAAATTAGTTCAACCATTGTGGAAGACAGTGTGGGGATTCCTCAAGAATCTAGAACCAGAAACACCATTCGACCCAGCAATCCCATTACTGGGTATATAATCCATTCTACTATAAAGACACAGGTATACATATATTTATTGTAGCACTATTTACCATAGCAAAGACTTGGAACCAACCCAAATGCTCATCAATGATAGACCGGATAAATAAAATGTGGCACATATACACCACAGAATACTATGTAGCCATAAAAGGATGAGTTCATGTCCTTTGCAGGAACACTGATGAAGCTGGAAGCCATCATTCCCAGCAAACTAACACGGGAACAGAAAACCAAACACCGCATGTTCTCACTCATAAGTGGGAGTTGAACAATGAGAACACATGGACACAGGGAAGGGAACATCAGACACCAGGGCCTGCCAGGGGGTGGGGGCAAATGGGAGGGAGAGCATTAGGACAAATACCTAACGCATGTGGGGCTTAAAACCTAGATGACAGGTTGATAGGTTCAGCAAACCACCATGGCACATGTATACCTATGTAACAAACCTGCACATTCTGCACACGTATCCCATAACTTAAAGTAAAATTAAAAAAAAATTAAATCTACAAAACTATTACAATCCCAATTCTTTTGTTAGATCTAGCTAAAAAATGAAGTATGTGGATACATTACTTTTTTCTGGTTTTAATTTTTATCTGATTACTAGCTTAGTGAATCTTTCATACGTCTTTCAGAAGGGGGATAATTATCTTCCCTCGACCTTCTGGTTATCAGTCACACATGGATAGCTATCTAGGTATAATAGGCAAATATTCTGCTTTAGGACCACCTCACCCTACATGGTACCTACTTATTGTAGAAATGATTACACCGCCAAGAAATCAGGTCGGTCAAGTCCTTAGTTAACACCTACTACATGCCTTAGTGACTGCCTTGGGGCCTTTCTTTGCAGAAACCATTATAGGTTTAAACAAACTTGGGATTGTTTTACAAATTGTTAAACTTAACAGTGGTAACTTTTTCATTATGTTAATATTAGATGTGTTTCTCACTGAAAATTTTGATGGCTAAGGTTTTGCAAATTAATCTTGTATATAAAACAGCATGAGGTAGAGAATAATTTAGTAATTCTAGAGTATTTTAGGTGATTAGTCATTTTTATCACTTTTGGAACAAAACTCACGAAAATGATTTTTAAAATGACTGATTTGTAGTTTATGAATTTGGGCTGAATTGGTTTGAGCAGAATCTTGCAAAGTTTTAAATAAATATCATCTAAACCCAATCATCTAGAAAGCCAAATCAATTGTGTAAACTTGCCTGTACTCTGTACAGATCAGAATACAGATTAATTAGAATGCCATAAAAATACTCAAAATAATATGTGACAGTCTGAGGATAATTCATCTATGGTTGGTGTGATGATTCCACGGTAACAGAGACCTAAAATCCTTTTATGTTGTTGCTCGAATGTCTAATTTAAGTACTGAACCCTGTCATTGTACTGTAAATGTAGCCATAGAGTGTGTAAATGTAACATATATCAATGAGTGTGTTTGTGTTCCAATAAAACTTTATTTTTGAAAATTGAAATTTAAGTTTTATATAATTTGTACATGTCATGAAATATTTGTTTCTTAATTTTTTTAACCACTTATATATGTAAAAATAATTATTTGCTCTCTGATCAAACAAAAACAGACAGTAGACAAGCTTTGGCCCTTGAGTTGTAGTTCACTGGCCCCAGCTCCAACTCTAGTAGCTCAGGTTATCATTTCCCTATCTTAGTTAGGCTGGATTACACTTTATGTTGTAAGCATACTTGTTCTAGATTTCTGAGGGGCTTACCCTTGTTTTCCAAGGACATTACAATCTTATCAGCTTCACAACACCATCATTGGACAAGATTTTCTTATTTGAAATACCTTGATGAAGTCTCAAGCAGTGGTCATGTATTTTACTTACTTCAGACTGAGACAGTAGTTTCGTGTGGGTTTACCTTTTAATTCTCCATTATTTTTTGTCTCTTATTACTAGTTTCAATCAATATTTATGTAGTACTTATGTGCCAGTCATTGTTGTAAGTTTATTTAATATGTTACTTTCTCACAATAAACCTATGAAATTAGTACTATTATCTCTATTTTACCTATGGGGAAACTGAGGCACAGAAGGCTTAAATAACTTGAGCTAATAATGCAGATAATAGATAGCAGAGCTAGGATCCAAATCTAGGCTGCGTGGATCCAGAGTCAGAGTCCACTTTGCCTTTCAAAACAACCTTGGTGTGTTGTTTTCTTAAATAAGAAATGTAGGAATGTTTCTCTCCAAACCCTGAAATATTATGTCAGCCACACAAGACACCTCCTTCTTGTACAGCTAAATTAGTATCACCAGTGTTCTTGGAGACCTAGGATTCCTAATTGAGGGATTCCTATGCTGCAATGTCTGTGTCCCATATTGTATTTATTTATCAAACAGATCTTCTCATTGCCAGACATTGTTTTAAATGCCTTATACACATTGACTTGCTTAATTTAATCTTTACAACAAGCAATTAACAGATGAAAAAGGTCGCATAACTTCGTAAAGGGCAGAGCCAGATTCCAACCAAGTTAACGTCTTCGATCGCTATTCTTAATCTTTCTGCAGGGTCTGAGTCTCTTTATTTCTTATCGGCATGGGTTTCTCTGTTTCTTGCTTCAGGGACTTTATGATTGGTCACAAAAAATTCTTGACCTTGGTTGGTTTTGACATGGCTGCAACATGCTCTGTCTTTCTGACAGGAATGCATAGCAGAATATCAGGTTCTCCTCAGCCCTGTGACAATCATAGTGCACATACGGCATAGATTTTGTTTTAAAAAATCTCTTTTGGTGTGTGTATTCTTCTTGTTTAAAGTCTGAATTGATATTTGCACACTGCTATAACCTCTCTCATGAAGCATTACCTATTTTCAAAGCTACATAAGGTGCTGTTGTAATCATACTGTTTTGTTGTATACATAATCTCTCTTTAGTTAGTCATCATTATTTATTTTCCTTTTGTTAGTTTAATTATAAAAACAACGCATACTCATTTTAAGAATCCTAATAATACAGATCTGTGTGTTGTTGGTGGTGAAAAGTCTCCAGTTTCTTTCATCCCTTTTCTTTATAATTTCCAGCATAATGTCATAGAAATAGATGAAACTCTCAGCGGGCTTATTCTGCATTCACTGACCATGGTGGTTTGAGGGTTAACTTTAAGAAGCACTCTGTCCTTTTCAGCTGACTGCTACATCCGGGAGAAAAGCGCTATTGCCTGGGAAACTAAGTCACGTGAGAACCTGAGGCCTCTAGGTGCCGGAACCTGACCTGAGCTGGGGCCTGTGCTTCCAGTGGGTGGTGGGGGGCCTGGTGTGCTGGCTTCAGGTAAGCGGACTGCCTCGGCAAAGGCTTAAGGACAAGAGACCGGCAGCCTGAACTGGCTGGGGCATCCGGAAGGCTTAGATCTTGTGGCCAAGAATTCAGACCGTGGCGAAGTGGAGAGTGACATGCAGTTGGATGGCGGTGACTGCGTGGTAAGTTGTATTTGAATACCTGGCAGGAGACAAGAAGTGGGGATGAGCTAGGACTCATCCTCCCTTTATTGAATAATTTGCCTTTTTCCAGAGGGAAGGAAGCCAGACCAGCTAGCAGGACGCCAGGGGTGCAGGGGTGGGAGTGCGGGAATGAGAATAGGTGTCTGGAACAGGACAGAGGGGGAGGGGAACCCTGAGGCGCAAATTCTGTTTCCTTACATGGCTTTTTCTTCTCGTTTTTCTCCTTCTCTCTCACCCTCTATGTCCCCATTATTCTTGTTCTTTCTTTTCCTGGTTACGCATTTTTATTCCTCCAGAGCCTTAATTCGAATGTAAACATTTTGGCGCCTGATCCAGTTCTCTCTTAACTTTCCTGGTATTTGTGATTTCGTGTTTGGTAACATAATAGGACGACTATAGTTAACGATAATTTATTATATATTTCAAAATAACTAAAAACCGAAATTGAGATGATTCTAACACAAAGAAATGATAAATGCTTGAGATGATGGATATAACAACTACTCTGATTTGATTATTACACATTGTATGTTATAATCAAAATATCGCATGTACCCCATAAATATGTACAACTATTATGTATCCATAATAATTAAAACTTCAAAAACGTTAACCAAATGGCAAAAAATCAGAAGAAGTTATTCAAGTATGGTGAGTAAACGTTTAAAAAGTGACAGCTTCACTAATAAATGCACATGAAAAAACGGAATAGCAGATTATGATTGACAACGGAATAAAAAGATTGTTTATGCCCTGTGTTGTGCAGAGTTTGGGGACACTGGCACTCAATTACAGTATTGTTAAGTGTGTAAATTAGTATAATCATTTATTGTTGGGCTATTTGGCATATGTAACAAAGTTGAAAACTTCTTAGTCTTTGACCTAGAAATTCTACCCTCAGGAAATTTTTTTCAACGGTTACTACTGAAAATACACACATGCATGCACATACATATATAATGTGTTAATTGCAGCATTCTTTGTAATAGCACACTTTGGAAATAATCTAAGTGCTCATCAATAGTGAACTGGTAAAATAAATTGTGGTATAACAATATGATTGGATAGAATACAGACCTTTTAAATGGCACTGATTTGGTGCCTGCGAAATAAGTTACAAAATAGGTTTTCTAGTAGTAGTCATAATATTATCAAATGTTTCTTTACAATATGTGTGAACACATACTTCTACATGAACAGAAAAAATACTGTAAGAAATTATGAACAAAACAACTAGCAATGAAAATCTCTGGGTAGTGGAATTGTAGCATTTGTTTTTCCTCCCCTCTTCTGCTTTCCTTCTCAACGTCCTTCCCCAACTTTCTCTCTTTCTTTTTTTCTTAAAGATCCATGTACATTTATTTCAACATTAATTTTTATACTCCAAATACCATTTACTTTCTTTTTTAAGGTATTACATATTAAGCAATACACAAGATTGTAAAGAAAAATTCAACCAATACCATTGTTGCCTTAGCTCAGTTTAACAAGTAAAAATTTGATCAATACAGCTGAGATCTTCTGTGTAACCTTCCTTAATTTCATTACTCCAATCATGAATTTGGTGTTTATTTTTTTATGAATAATTTTTTAATTTTTTTGCCACATGTACATTTATATCTCAGAAATATATAGTATTATTTTACTTCCTTTAAAGTCTAATATAAATGGTATACTGTATATATTCTTCTCAACTTGTTTTTAGTCAAAATATGGTTGTGAGCTTTATGTTGATAACTTTTATTAACAGTTAATTTATTTTCCCTACTGTATTGTTTCTAATGTATACCTCTACCACAATTTATTTTTCCATTTTATGAATGACCACTTTGGTTATTTCAGTTTTTAGTACGTGTATTTATGTTAATGGACATTGTAATACATTTCCTTGCTCTATGAATTAAATGACGGATTACTTTGGAAAAGTTATTTCACTTTTTTTTTGAGACAACGTCTCACTCTGTCACCCAGGCTGAAGTGCAGTGGCACAATCTCTGCTCACTTCAACCTCTGCCTCCCAGACTCAAGCAGTCCTCTCACTTCAGCCTCCTGAGTAGCTGGGACTACAGGCACCTGCCACCATGCCTGACTAATTTTTGTATGTTTTTGTTGAGACGGGGTTTCACCATGTTGCCAAGGCTGATCTCAAAATTCTGAGCTCAAGTGATCCACCTGCCTCGGCCTCCTAAAGTGCTGTATGACAGGTGTGAGCCACTATGCCAGACCTAGCAATACTTCTATTTTATCAGTTGTAAAATGGGAATAATGGCTACCTAATTCTCAGGATATTGTGAGGCATGAATGAAGAAGCTGTGTAAAGAGTTTGAAATAAATTAACTTTCAATGATTGCACTCCTTTCCCATCTTCCTGTCATAAAAGAGATGACTTTGGCCTAAACCGAAAAGCATAACTAGCATACATATTTTTAATTTTTTAATTTTATGTATACATAATAGTTGTATGTGTTCATGAGGTAAATGTGATATTTTGATACAAGCATGAATTGAATAATGATCAAATCTGGGTAACTGGGATACCCATCACCTCAATCAACTATTATTTCTTTGTATTAGGAGCATTCCAATCTATTCTTCTGCTTATTTTGAAATGTACAATAAATTGTTGTTAACTATAATGGCCCAATTGTACTACTGAACACTAGACTAGATCTTCCTTCTATCTAACTGTATTTTTGTTCCCATTAACCACCTGTCTTTATCTCCACCTACCCAACTAAAATTCCCAGCCTTTGGTAACCACCATTCTATTCATTACCTCCATAAGGTGAATATTTTAGTTTCCATATATGAGTGAGAACATGTGACATTTGTCTCTGTTTGCCTGGCTTATTTCACTTAGCATAATTTCCTCCAGTTCCAGATATGCTATTGTAAATGACAGGATTCAATTATTTTTTGTGGTTCAATAATATTTCATTGTGTATATATGCCATATTTTCTATATCCATTCATCCACTGATGAGCACCTAGGTTGATTACATATCTTCGGTATTATAAATAATGCTGCAATAAACCTGGGAGTGCAACTATCTGTTCAATAGCTAGCATAGAGATCTTTTGAAAAAGTACAGGCAAGAAATAGCCTGTACCCAGTGATGTTATTTATGGGCTTTATTGTTTTGTGCAGTGAGTTGTGGTATTAGAAGAAGCTTATCTAGTTTACTACATATATTGTTTAGTTTTCTGAGCCCTTACTTTACCTTCCATGTTAGCATCAGAGAAGATATATTTCCAAAATTACAAGATACCACAGAACTAAGATAATGAAGGAACTATTGTGTACAATCTTTCAGTGGGTGTTAGGTGATCTGATTCCCATTACTATCCCATAGCATCTTGGGTAAATTATTTCACCTCTGATCAATGATTGGTATCATTGTAGTTGCTAAGGTTCTGTTTTGTTGATGTCTTAGTTTGTTTGGGCTGCTATAATTAAATACCACAAACTGAATGACTTATAAGGAACAGAAATTTATTTTTCACAGTTCTGGAGGTTGGGAAGTCCAAGATCAAGGTAGTGGCAGATTTGGTGTCAGGTAGAGGAAGTTCTAATTAGCTCTCAGAATCAAAGGAGTGAATACCCAAGCAGGAATAGGGCCCTTCTTTGTTTAAGCATGTTAGCAGCAATAATTTTCTACATTTTCTTTCTAAAGTGCTGCTATTAACATGATTTCTCTCTTTGTGTCTCCAAGTTTTAAATTTCTAGTGAAGAGATTCTGATTGCCTAGCTTGAGTCACAGGTGGCTGTGAAGGCAGGTTAAATAATGTAGACATAACCAGTAGGTAATCCTTATGAGCCAGGAAGCCATCCTAATTGTTGTCTAGCAGCATCTACTGTTCTACTCACCATTTTTTGAGATGAATATATGTCAATTTTATTACCAGATGAAATATAATAATAAATTATTTCTGAAGTAGCGTATATGTGGTGGCACACATACGAAATGTTTTTCTTCATTTCTTTCCTCATCTTAAAAATACATCTTTAAGGTACATAATAAACTATTTAAAAAATTTTTAGGTTGCCAGTCACAAGGTGCCTTTTAGTAAGGTACACAATACCTTCTATGAAATATTTTTGCCAGAAAAGTTCACTCAAATCTGATCAAGCCTCTAAATTTAATAATTTATGGGAAATGCAAAGCACAGAATTACATGACAAATGACATCATTGAATGCAGTCAGAAAAATCCAGCCTGTGGGAAACTCTGCAATGCAGATACGGGTTTTTAAAACAAATACATTTAAATTAAAAAAAGACAGACAGGAATTGGAGTAGTCCAGAACACCTACAGATTAAAAAAGAATTAAGAAACATATCAACCACTTGCAATGTATAGAGCTTATCTTGATCCTGATTTAAGCAAGCATATTGTTAAAGACAGATAAGACATTGCTGGTACCAATGCAAGCTAGTATAATGCTTTTGAAAACATTGCTTCTAGGTCCTCTCAGAGAACAAAACTAGGAAATATATGCATGTATACACCCATGCAAATATCCACATCTACATTTATTTTTACATGTATCCTATCTATACCTAACAAATGATACGGCTTTATCGTTTGGCTTACCAATCCCATTTCTAGAAGTTTTCCCTGTAGATATACTTTCAACAATACAATACAACAGTGAATATGCACAGTGAATATGCAACATTATTTATATTTGCAAAATGTTGAAAACAACATAAATACCCATATACACTGTGACACATTCGTACAGTGTGGTAGCATGAAGCTGTAAAAAAGAAAATGGAAGATCATTATGAGCTAATATGGAGTAATTTCTGGAATATATAATAAATTAAAAGGTTAAAGGCAAAAGAATATCTGTAATATGTTACCCTTCATGTGATGAAGGAGGTGTAAATATACATATATATCTGCTTAATTGTGCAAAAGAAATACAGGAAGCCAGAGACTTAATGAGAGGCTACCAGTAGTTAGTGTGTATGG